ATACCTGGGACCGCTTCAACTAGAGCTTGACGAGGTGATAAGCGAGAGGATGATGGCGGGCTTTCGATAGATATAGGCTGGCTTAGAGTACCGCGGGGCACGCCCCGAGACCGCTTCGGTGGGGTAGCAACAATAGCTTGGACGCGTCTTTTTGGTGGCATGCTTGCAATCAAGAAATTGGTAAGATAAGAAGATATATATAATAAATTGACACGTATAGTATTAGAGATAGAGGTAAGAGTTAACGTTACTATAGATTAGTAGCCTACGTAAAGGAGTTCATAGTTATTCTTCTTTTTTTACGCACGGGCGTATCAAGCTCATCAAGCTCTATCAAGCTCAGCTTGATGAGCTTGACGAGCTTGATACAGCTTGATACAGCTTGATGAGCTTGGCTTGACTCAGCTTGACCGTTGAGTCAATCCAGCTTGATTGATGAGCTTGACTCAGCTTGATTGTTGACATCTCTGTAATCCCGAGATGCCTGCAGGAATTAAAGTACGAAGCTTGCTCAACGGAAGAACTGTCCCCTAAAATTCGTTATGCGAAGAACTTCCGTAGCTAGAGAATAGTTTTTTCAGTGCATACTTGGTACAAGATCTCGACAAATCTGTCTACTTCGTGCATACCCTATGGCTTTTGAGGAGAATGCGGAAATAACTCCTTAAGAATGCAGTCATCTTCCTAATATGGAACAAATAATAGAGCTTGCCGCAACTAACCTAGATGTAGGCTTAGCGAGTCTAATGGCAAAGCTTGCCGGATTAGTACGCTGGCCGCATTGCTATACCAAAAAAGACTCTCTAGACGATAGCTTTACAAGATTGCAATAATATCACATGAAATAAAGCAATGTTATCTATCGTCTAGCTCTGAAACACATTTAAATACATACTTAAGCATTACACATTCAGCACGTTAATAGTGCTGTTACAGGCTAGAACTAGTACTAGTGTGGTAAACTGGGTCTCATATTAGGATCCATTTTCTCTATTATCTCTGTGTGTTGATATCTGAAGTATAAAATATATGCCTTATATATACGAAGTCTTTCTATAATTATAATAGTAAGAGCGACAAAGAAAGGTGTACTAAGAAACAGAATATATATATCAAAGGCACAGCTAGAGGCTCGGAGAGATCCCCTACTATAACGACAATAGGCTTAGATAGAGAAGATTTTATTTTATATGTAACATGTACTTGATAGTAACAAGAAGTGCAAATAAAGGAAAAGAGACAGATCTGTCTCAACTTCAGTAGGACCTTGATATCAGTCAAGACCACCCCTGTGTATCAATAAGAACTTTTCGAAAGCCACCTCTGTACCCGAACAATCTAAACACACGTAGCCATGTCGCCTGGGCGGTCAAGCGGGGTACACCGATTTCCCGTGGCTGTACATTGCCATTGCTTATCGCTTATTAGTCTTATCATACAGCATAATAATAACCACCAAATTTACTTACCGAAGTACAGTACAAGTCTCGGCTTGAATCCTCCCTACTGTACCGGCATAATCCGTACTTTGTGAAAGTCCCTTCTTTGGTAATACAATACTATACATAATAACATTAGCGTGATGGCATAGAGTAGCTGGGATAGAATGATATACCCAGGCAGTCACAGAATGACAGAAGATAGATACACAAGCTAGAGAGGCGAAAAGCTTCATGGTTGTTATCGTGATATACTTGATGTATATCTCTTAGAACATGTATAAGATAGAAAAGGGGAGCTAAAGAGAAACAGTAAGAAGGATACGGAGGTATTACTTATATACCGTAAAGACAAATGAGTAACTGCCGTCTATCCAAGCGTGTGGGGACGTACGGGTGTAATCAAGACGGCTTTCACCCGCGGACCCTCGTATTCTCCTCAGTGTGCTCAACGGCAGCCAAGTACGCTGCGCAATCAATTAGAGTTCTTTTTTAATGAGTACTTACTCTGTTGCTGACGGCTGTCCCTCGGTAACGCATATTAGATAGGTCAGCAGTAAACACGATTCCGGTGATACCTAGCGATGGTTCCCTGAAGCATGCGGAATTCTTGAAATATTGCTCACTTGGTTACCGGGGATCAGGGGCTCGGCTCCACCGGCAATATGGTCATATACGACTTTGTCGCCAATAGCCTTCTGAGAAGGATCGCTGTTGGTATTAGCGCTTACTGTGCTACTGTCTGTCTAGGATAGCTAGTGCTAAGTATTGCTAATAGCGCACGTTCTAGCGGATTGCATTTTGACGATCTTGCGGTTTACGCAGAGAAACTGTGAGAATGTATACAGTTTCCAGTGTGAGGTGTTAGGAATCTCCTCCATCTTGAGTTAGTTGTGCTAAGCCGGCTAGTACAGCGTCACGGCCAGTACGACCAGTACGGCCAGAGAAGATGGCTTAGCATAGCTTCATAGCAGCATGGGGTGTGTGAATGACGCTTCTGGCCTTGCGTGGGTTGTCCGTCGTGAGATGGAATCTCGTGGTGTGCTGTGTCTGTGCGTGGGCTATGATGTAGTAGTAAAGTCAATGGGACGATGCGTCGTCGACTTGTAACGACCCAAGTTCGCGGTGCAGTATGGACAAGGGCTTCATTATAATATGTACGTGCACCCAGAACTCACCACCCAAACGCCACTTGCTCGAAGAAATAACGCGGTATTCCTCTGTATAATATGTTCGTTTGTAACGACATTCAGCACGAGACGAAACAGCAACACTTGTTTCAGCGAGACGCAAGCCAGCGCACATACACACATACCATACCGATGGATGTCAACGCTTTACCGATAAAGGCTACACACAGACATCCTCTAGACCCTGTGCTTATTCAACTAATACGCCACAAACATTAACTGGATTCCACAGTGTCAATGAAAACTACCTGATACGGGAACAACCTCGCACTCAAGGGCCACGTGAGTGTTTGTGCTGGTGCGGTGTGTGCCGTGACGTTTTGCGTACCGAGCTTCTCTGGAGTTTGCGACAAAAAAGGAAATGCCCACCGCACACTGCACGTATGTACGCACTCGACCAACAGGCGTGCAGGGAAAGTGGAAGAAGGAAAAGTGACGGATGTGATTGATGGAGAGGGATATAAAGCAAAAGTATTCAGCGCGTGTAGCATGGCTCGTACATGAGGTGAAGGAAGGGAGGATGCACTCACAGCGTGCAATCGTGCTCTCGGAGGTTTTCTGTCATCTTGAGACGAGAGATAGGAGAATTCGCAAACCACGGTAGTCGTGACTCGAGTTAGCGGGCGAATTTATTCTCCTTTTTGGCGTCTGCTATCGATGGATGAAGCGGTGGATTTCCTCTTCTGGGCAATATGTGGAAATTGGAGAGGGGCGGAGTTTGAACCGAAACTTTGGCTGGATTGGTGAGGAGGCTAGGGCGCGTGGGTTGTTTGAGGATCGTGGCACTGTTGGAAAGGGGTAACTTGTTTCGTTCCTCTGCTGTGCTCTGTAGACGTATGAGTGGCTTTGTGTCAGTGACTGGTCAAGTGTCTCCTGGTGAGATCTGACTTGATGAATTCCACCTCATCTCTCACAGGACACACACCCACAGGTCAGGCACATAGTGCTTTCTTTTTCGCAACCTCGGGTCTCGTGATGCTCTCGCTACCACGCTTGCAAAGCCTGGGGCAAGCCATCTGGTGCTCGGTCCCGGTCTATTCGCGTATGCGATTCTCTGGTTGGTAGACTGCATCCGGGTAGCAAAACACGCAGATATCGACAGTCTGCGGAATTGTCTTCCTCTTCCGGAAGTGCAGGCCGTTAGAGCACGCCTTAACCAAGGGGTCTAGCTGCAAAAGAGGATTGGCGTACCCAGGCTAGGGATTTGACAGCCGTTTGCCGTGATCAATGGCTTGATTGTCGTCGACTTCCTTTCTGGGTAATAACTGGCTAGTTAGCCATAGTGGTGGTGTTGCTGCAATCAGAAACTCGGGAGGCGTTTCTAAACACCAAAGCGTTTTTGTGTGGCTGCTGGGGCGCATGTTGGCAAGACTGTATCATAGGTTGTGACGACGAAGTACCACTCTTGCGCACTGGTGCTGCGAGTACCTGTAGCAATGAAGTCAGATTGCAGGCCAAGTCAGAACGTCAGATCTCGCACCTACACAGCCACCAAGCGTGGCGCAACCACCGACGCATCCTCATCTGCACCCGGACAACCACACTTGGTCGGTAGGCAATGTAGCCCGGCTCCGCGCCATCGCAAACAGGAAATAGGCGTCTCCCACAAGGACCGAAGACGGAAGAACCGGGGGGATGCTGCAGTTTGCCTTGCCGCGGAATCCAGCTTAGCGCAACAATGACGTATTTGGTCGCGGATCCCGCCAGGCACCTTAACACGCACGTCGACGCTTTCTTCCTTCTGCTTTCCCTCACCTATAACAAGCCCTCTTTTTGCGTCATCTGCTGCTCTCCAATCCTCGACTCTCAATCCCATACCACCGATATCCAAAACCCGAAGCTCAATTGCCTTGATATCACCGCGTTCGTCATGGATGTATGTATCGGCTACACGACGCGCTGAAGACTTTGCAAGAAAAAGCGAAGCTGACAATTATGATTTCTAGGTCTACTACTTCTACTCGTACGGCACGGCCGCATGGCTCAGTAAGCTTTCTTAACATGCTATTGTGCGCGCTTGACGGCTGGCTAACGGAGACAACAGCCACACAAGCGGTGCCGCTCATCAGCTCCCCAACAATGCTGGTCGCACTGCTGTCGCCCGAGGTGCGCGAAGCTAGCAGTACGTGCATGTCCGATTTCTTTGAGAAGCTGCAAAAAATGAGTGCCCTGGCTGACACTCGCAACAGCGCTTGAAGTCTACTTTAGCCGATCACTGGGCTTTGCGCTCATAACTCTGGGAATCCTGGGCGTGCTGCTTACAGGCTCTGTACCGCTGTCTAGCCGGCTTTCAGAAGGTATGTTTGCATCTTTCGTTTGAGCAAGTCGTGGGCTAATACTTGTCAGGCGCAACAACACAGGCAGAAGACCCCAAAGCACCGTACGCTCTACCCACGCTCACCATAACGGCCATGTTCCACGCGACATGTGCATTTTACGGCTATGCAATGTGGACCAGGACCGGGGTGCTGGCGTTCAGTCTAGGCACGCTGGGCTCGGGCTTCCTGGCCATCGTAGCGCTGTGGTGCATTTTGTTTGCTAGCAGCAACGGCAGGATTAGCAGGAAGACGGGCGCGGACAAGAGGACGAGTGGATTCCCATTCAAGAACGCCGAGGCGGACAAGAGGAAGGCGAGGTAAATGTCTGGCGCGTCATGGCTAGGCAACGTATCCGTACAGACGGCGAAGACGAGCGGCATGTTCGTAGTGGATGCAGATTGCACCGTACCCGATGAGTTCGCGCTTGGAAGAGCGAACCTGTATACTAGTAGTTTGAAAGCATGAAATGTTATGGCATTGGTATCTTTGACCTACTACACGTCTCCAACCGTGCGGACCCGAGTCCATCCCGTATTTTACACACAAGTTAGTTAGGAAAAGGAAAAAAAATTATAAACTCCGAGTCCGCTCTTTTCTCATGTCAGTAAAGTATATGCTGCAGGTCAATCAGTGGCCATCAAGCCCCAGGCACCTGAAGCTGCCCATCCTCTGCGGGCTTGGTGTCGGCTGGCAATGGCTTGGATGGCTGCGGCTCCTCCTTGACCTGAGGCCGCTGTGTCTGCGCGCCCTGCTCGCGCCACCACGGCAGCTTCCCGTCTTTAGGCGCAATGTGCAGCAATTTGGCGGGGGCGACATCGTTCTCGACGGCCTGCCAGCCTTCCAGGTCTTCGGGTATGCCCTGCTCTGCGCGCCTCCGCCGCTCCGTCGCCGCCTGTGCCTCCATGAAGTTCTCAAACAAAAGCTCCTTGGCCTGCCACTCCTCGCGGCGCTGGCGCTCGAGCTCCTCGGCCTCGGCACGCAGCTGCTCGCCCTCCTTTGTCGCCCACTGCAGCTGTTTGCGCAGCAGGTGGAACAGCTCGTTGGCGGGCTTGCGGAGCTCGTCGGGCGTAAACTCAATGTCCGGGGGGAATTGCACGAGCGTCGAGGCCGACGGGCTGGCGAGGTCCTGCAGGTATATGACGTTGTTGTGGGCGTAGTCGGTCTCCGATGTTGTCGCGGGCGGGATGGTGGCGCTGTTGGGCGGGTGCGAGTGCGACGACGGGGAGCCGGGGGTCGAGGCCTTGTCGTGCGGCGGCAGCTTCTTGGCCTCGTTGCTGAGGACCAGCTTGAGGCGCTGCTTGTTGTTGGTGGGGTTGGACGAGTGGTGCTTGGGCACGGGATCCGAGGGCCGCAGCGCCTCCGTCTCGTGCACCGTCCGCATGTGCTTGGCGAGGGCGTCGGAGCGGGTGAAGGAGCGGTCGCATTCTGGGGGGCATTTGCTTAGCAGGCGCATGCTCGCGTCGCGGCCAACGTACCTGGGAGAGTGCAGTAAAAGGGCTTCTCGCGCGTGTGGGAGCGCATGTGTGCTCGCAGCGCATAGCCACTCGCATGCGGGATGCCCTTGCGGGTGCAATCGCTCCATTCGCAGCTGTACTTCTTCTGGCGCGTGCCGATGTGGTCGTCGTGGAGATGCTCGACCAGGTTGTCCATGTTGTGCATGTCGCCGGCGGTGCAGCCGTCCCATTTGCACACCGTCACCTGCTCCTGGCCGTAGTCGTCGTCCTGCGACATGCCCGGGTGGTGGTGTGGCGACGCCGGCACCGAGCCGTCCGTGTCTTCGGACAGCTCCTCGTCCAGGTCGGGCGGCATGGTGCTAATGGGCGGCGGCGGCGACGAGGGCGCGCGGATGTTCAGGCGAGGTCGTTTGTTGGGGCGCTGGTCACGGTCAGGCGTGGCTTCATAGCTGCGTTGACGGCTTCGCTTTACATCCTCGGGGAAGTCATCGCTCCCGTACTCGGAGAGATCTGAAGGCGATTCCGTCATGGCGACGTGCGGGGTGGCGTCGCCTGCCTCGTGGTGATTGATGCGATGTAAAGTGAGGTGGTGTAGTCAGGAGCGTGTTGCGCCGCCCAGCCGGCGCGCTCGCCGTCTATACTTACTTAGCGCATGTGCAGGGGCCAGGCGTTGAGCTTCGGGTGTTGGTGCACTTTTCTGCCAATCCTCCACCTCTTCCTCCTCGCACCACCACCATCCCGCCACGCTGAAGATATGGAACCTGGCACGACAGGCTTCAGACACTCGCCCTTGGTGGCGGACATGCCTCCGCTGCAACACATGTACGTCGCCCGTCTCTCACGCCTCACCCCCGCCTCTATGATGATTTATCCCAGAGTTCTGCAATTCCAAAAAACTGCCTCACGGCGGCTCGTATGCGGATTAGCTCATACACTACACATTCACCTGACTCTCAATCGCACGGCACCCCAAGCTAGCTGTACATTATAGCTACAATACTGACTAGTCTCTCTCCAGGCCATGAACCATCTACGCAAACAGCAGGGCTTCCTGCGTCTTGTGGTACCGCCCGCCAATGACTGGAAACTTCTTCAGAATCTCACCGAGCGCCTTCATGTCGTCGTCATTCAGCTGCGCCGGCTTCATATTCTCCTGGATCCTCTCCGACGTAGTGGCACCTGGGATGGGGATAATGGTCGGCATGCCCTTTGCTCCGCTCTGCGCAAGCACCCAGCCAATGGCAATCTGGACTGGTGTAGCACCCTTTGCCTTGGCAATGTCCTCGACGGCGTGGAGCAACTTGATGTTCTCGTCGAAAACGTCGGGCTGGAACCTGGGCAAGTGCTGCAGCATAGAGTCTGGCTCAATGTCGCTGTGCTTCTTGTACCTGCCCGTCTGGGAACTGATTAGCGCAGGCATTTGGCAGGCAATTTGGGAAACTTACAAGGAATCCGCGCCCAAGCGGCGAGTAGGCGATGATAGGAATGCCCAGCTCAGCGCATGTCGCCGCGACGCCGTTCTCGAGAATTTCCGTTGCCCAGAGAGAGAACTCAACCTCGACCGCAGAAATGGGGTGCACGCTGTGCGCTTTGCGAATTGTCTGCGCGCCAACCTCGGACAGGCTTATGCCGCCCAGCTTGCCCTCTTTGACGTACTCGGCAATGTAGCTAACAGTGTCTTCGATGGGTGTCTTGGGATCCACCCTAGCACACTCGAACAGATCAAGGCTCTTCTTGCCATCCAATAGCTTCAGGCACTCGTCGATGCTGCGCCTGACATTCTCCCGGCTGCCGTCGGGTACGAAGCCACCCTTGACAAGACCGCCCTTGATGGACAGCACAATCTTTTCGGCGTCCTCGGGGTACTTGGTGAAGTACTCGTTCAGGAGGTGCAGAGAGTTGCGTTCAGGCGAGCCGTAAAGCTCCCCTCCATTCCAGTTGTTCGCTCCAAGCGAAAGCGCTGTGCGCATAGCCTCGAAGCTCTGCTCTTGAGATGGTGGGTTCTGGCGCCATGTGAGGCCTGCCATGGTTAATCGACGCATTTGCAAGATAGCTGATAAAGTGACATACCCATGAGCCCGTAGCCTACTGGCCCGACAGTCTTTCCGACAAGTTGAGGCATATTGTGGTGTTGCAAAGGTTTTGGTTGCTGTTAGGCGGGGTAAAAACAAGTCAATGATATCACCGCGGTTATCCGCGTCCTTGCTAGTCTGCTCTTCGGTCTGTTGTTTATTTTCTGCTGATGTCTGACGCTCAGCAATTTATATATCCAAGTGAAGCTCTTCTCGGACCCGAAAGCAATGATTGTCTAACGCCACAGTAACGGTAATTGGCCTAACACTTGTGCTTGTGTCAAGCATCTACTAAGGCATGCGGCACTTTTGACGACTTAACTCCGCCTGGCCAATCAGCGCACAGCGTGGCGCCCACCACCATGCCTTTAGAGTTGTATTATCTCCGATGCGTAGGTTGAAAGGGCCTTTGGCCTACATGCAGAATGCATGCGTAAAACATGACTTTATGGTTGGGCACGGCGATCGACAGCTGTGGATGACCAAAATGCATTGTTTTAGGAAACCGAATAGTTTCGAGTCGCGTATGATCAAAGAGCGGTAAGTGGTGTGGTCTACATAACCCAACCGTTTTGAGTACTATATCCCCTCTATCTCTATAATTCTATGACACAAGCTTGCATGACATGAAAATCTCCTTCTCAAGCCACTTCGGCTCCATCTGCACCTCACATCACTGGCGCCTCGGGCTCGAAAACACCAGTTCCTCATCCTTAGATATCCTTCTTGCCCTCCACACCCTCCATATCCCGCAGCACAGCCTTGACCGGCCACACAAACCCCTCCTCCAGCTTCCCCGTCTTGCCCTCCTCAAGCGTAATCAGATACTCGACGAGCGCCATGCCCACATACGCGCCGACAGCAGTAAAAAAGTGCCACCAGGCGTGCAACTCGAGCAAAAAGCCCCAGGGCAGGCCGACCCAGTGCTTAACGGCCGTAACATAGCCGCAAGCATGGAAATCGATATTCCACAGAAAATAGCCAAACAGGCCCGAGGAAATGCCAAGCGTAGCCAGCTTCCCCAGCTTCGCGCGCGACGCCTCGCTGGAGACTTGCTTTGCAATGAGGCGGCGCGCATACTTGCATACGAGGAAGATCATGGCTGCGAAGGCGATTTCGTGCACGATGATTTCGTCGGCCCACACGTGGTAGATGGAGATGGGGATCAGGCTGCCGAGGATGTACAGCGTGTACTTTTGGCGCTGTGCCTGCGTCGCGTCGAAGCACAGCAGCTGGTGCAGGACGGCGCCCACGGCCAGGAACATGGAGAGGTCGTCTCCCATTTGAGAGTGGTACTTGAGCGTCGCGTGGAACCAGGCTGAGAGCACGCCTACCCCGATGAGGCCCCAGTAGGGGAAGGCGAGCGTGGAGAAGAGGCCGCCCGTTGGCTTGGGGGCTACGCGCCGGAGCCCGTGGACCCCGTAGATGACTGGGTTATCTTGTGAGTTTGGTCTGCTTAACATGGAGTGTAGACCTCTTTTTTTTGATCACGCACCATACGATATGTTTGTAATGGTGTTTATGAATTCGCCAATGTACGGCGTGATGATGAAGTCCTTGAAATCAATGAGCTTTCATTCATTCATTCATTCATTCATCGTCATCATCATCTTCTTTTCTTTCATTCTTCCCCAACTCTTGCTCAGCACATATATATGCTGCAAATCCTTACCTCTTCACAAAAGCTACATACATAACATGCGGGTTAGCCACAATCACATGCACGGCTCCGCAAACACAGACTTACTTGTGATTTGACGTCTTCGGGCCCCACGCTCCCGTCACGGGCTCTGGAGGATAATCCCAGCGGAACTGCATGTTGAATTGGAATTGGGGCTTTGCTTTGGACGCAGCTGTGGCGGTGCTGTTGCAGAGGTCGTCCAGTCGTGACAGACGTTGCTGTTGACTTACGTGGCGCTAGCTAGGGACGGTTCACGCTATGACCAGATCAATAGCGGCTGGCTAACGGAACGCCACGGAACGTCAGGGTTAATCAGCGATGCAGACAATGCTCAATGGATCGTGGAAATGCCATGCAAGTTCATCTGGAGTAGTGTGCTGCGTATCCGCATGTTCCTGGGGATTAAGTTTCACCCAATCAAAAAGAAATGCTTCCCGAACCCTATCCTACACAGAAACAACATTCAGCCAGCAAAGGCTGATATGGTGCAGTCAGCAAAAAGGCTGTGCCAGTGCATGCATTCTGCCTCCCAGAAGTGCAAAAAAGGGGTCTTACCGCGACTCGAACGCGGGGCCTCTCGCAAGCAATGCTCGGGTTTACCCTAAGCGAGAATCATACCACTAGACCATAAGACCGTTTTGCTGTAATAGCTACTGATGAGAGAAAAATGAGATTTTAATAATATAATGCTCTTAAAATTTTGAGTAAGCATGTATACGGCTGCCGTTATGTGCATCAGACTGAAGAGTGGAGTAAACGGACGCAAGGATATTGGATCCGCAAAGCTTATGTCAGGGGTAGTCCCATGAAATGTTAGGCCGTGGGTCGCAGAGACTGGCAAGCCCTTCAAGCCTATAGTTCAATGTCATCCTGCATTGAAGGCCGTTGATATGTAGAGTTGTATAGTAGAAGCAGAAATGGTATACTGGAATCACAAAATGGAACAATAGCTCATGTGAATCCAGCTTGGCCGCGGGGGTAGCTTGATATCTGCTATCCAAGCATTCGCAAGTTTTCCATACATCTGCCAAACAATCATCCAACTAGGTATACCCCTCAACTGTTTTATGGTACGTGAAGGTTATTATTCTCCCTGAACCATTGGGGAAGAGTCGATACAAATCTGCTAAAGGGCTTCCGTCACGTACGAGGCATCGACAATGTTCCACAACACTCAAGCACATCTAAATCATCTTTTGCAGCTTTCTCTACGTGACAGTGATGGAACGACAAGAAAAGGGCATCATTCACTAGAGAAACACGACTATTTCTTCAATTTGCATCAGTGTTGATACCTTCATCAGCATATACTCGCTTTGCAATACCCTTGACGCCAATACAGAGGTGGGTAACAGATCTTCGGCAGTCGCATGCAGCATCGGCCCACCTTTCAACCCTGAGGTCAAGATCCTTTGAGATCCTTTTGATCCAGCATACACCCAGGAACAGGCCACGATCGACTTGAATATCCAGGAAATACAATAAGCACGCTTCTAGTGTTATTGCAAGTTCAGATTGCAGCAACTCGACTTCGCGGGCCAGGCGCTGCAATATTCTGACAGTGCTGATCGCACATGTGATGCGAATAAGATGACCTGAGGCCACAACGGTGTTGCGTCACTGATCCTGGCAGTCCAAGGAGTTATTACTTCCTTTGGTAAAGTCAGCATGCGCGGAACAACAACGTTGCAACAGGACCGGTTACTATGGGTCCAGTTACCAAGAAACTACGCATACGTGTTGGCACTTTATGCGTGCCCAGTCTTCTCCACCTTGCTATGACGATGGTGCGCAGACAGGCCTGAGCTTGGGATGGGAAAAGATGGGGATGCGAGCTTGTTCTTGAAGCATTTGGCCAACCCAACACACGACCCTCTTGTCAAGGTCTCGCAGGTGCTCAATATTACCCGGTGCGATTATTATCGACCGCGGAAATGGAATGCGACTCCGTGAAGGACAACGCCGAGTAACAAGGGCAGAAATGCCAAGCAAAGAAAGGGATCGTGCTTCCGCCCCGAGGTGGTGCGGATCGAATCTTCCAACCACTCTTCGTCGCATTTCCACCCCATCACCCCGATCGTGTTGCGAATGTCGTAATAAAGAAGGAATCTGACCACCCTTCTTGATCACATGCTGCTTCGCTACGAGGAGGCAATACAGCGCGGCAATGCGCGATGGAAGGACAGCCATCCACAAGACAAGCTGCCGAAATAGAGACGGCGCCACTGACGCACCCACATGCACGACGCGGTTGAGGCGATCTCCACAAACTCTTCAACCCGCTCGTCTCCACCTCCAGCTAACCCCAAATTCCCCAGCCAGAGTTATTCCGCCAATCAAAGCCGATCGGAGGCTTCCTTGTCCTCATTTCTGTCCGATGTCCACGGCACCAACGCCTGTCGGCACGCTCCCGCTAGGCCTACGCTGGGAGTATGGCATTTTAACCAATTTAACCAAGCAGCAGGTGATTGGATCTGGGGCCTGAGCGGAGTTAGGCCTTCAGCAGGCATGCTTGCCTCACGCGAGATGTTTAGGGTAGCATACCGGCTTTTGTGGCCGACATCTTGATCCTTTATATTCGAGCATTCTCCCCACCAACGTGAGCCAGCAGGTCAGCTACTTGCGGTGATTGAGGCTCTCGAGAGCTCCCCCCGGCCGTCAAGATGTTTTCAAAAGTTCCCAAGATTTACAATGTCTACTTCTTGGCAATCATCGCCACCATGGGTGGTATGCTCTTCGGTTTCGATATCTCGTCGATGAGTGCTATCATTCCAAGCAGCCAGTATATGTAAGTTGACCATTCAGCCGTAACATCCATGGTCAACATCTAATAGATACCAGCGATTACTTTGACAACCCGGCCGGAGTCGTTCAAGGTGCCATTGGCGCTGCTCTTGCTGCAGGCTCCGTCGTTGGCTCAATCATGGCTGGTCCGATTTCTGACAAATTTGGTCGCCGCGATGCCCTCATGTTCGCCTGTCTCTGGTGGCTCGCCGGGACTGCTTTGCAGGTGGCAGTAACAGGACGAGGCATGTTGATCGCTGGCCGAGTGCTGAACGGCGTTACTGTCGGCATCACTTCGTCTCAGGTGCCAGTATATCTTGCAGAAATCTCCAAGCACTCACAGCGTGGTGCCATTATCATTATCCAGCAATTAGCTATTGAATGGGGAATTCTGATCATGTCAGTAATACACCGTGTACAGTTGACAAAGCTGACCTTTGCAGGTACTTTATCGGTTACGGATGTACCTTTATTCCTGGAGAATCAGCATCGTTCCGTACCGCCTGGGGTATTCAGTTCGTCCCTTGCGTCATGTTCATGATCGGGTTGCCTTTTCTACCGGAATCTCCCCGATGGCTTGCCAAAGTAGACCGCAGCGAGGAGGCGATTCACATCTTAGCATCTATTCAAGCCAACGGCAACATCGATGACCCATATGTTGTTGCAGAGTACGAAGAAATCATGACCGTTCTCAATGCTGAGCGTCAGGCTCCAGCGGGATGGAGGAAGTTTGTTCTCAACGGCATGTGGAAGCGAACTCTTGCAGGATTTTCCGTTCAGGCATGGCAGCAGCTTTCTGGAGCAAATGTACGTCAGGAGATTTCAATGCCCGAATGTGTCGTCTGACTTTGATCTAACAAAAAAAAACAGGTCATGACATACTACGTCGTCTACATTTTTGCCATGGCCGGTCTCGAGGGAAACATCAAGCTTATTTCCTCTGGAGTCCAATACGCACTTTTTATCATATTCTCATCGATCATGTTCTTTTTCGTCGATAAATTTGGCCGCAGGACTCTCTTGGTATGGGGCGCGATCGCAATGGGTATCTGCCACTTTGTTGTTGGCGGTGTCCTTGGTGCCAACTACGAATACGTCCCCGGCGGTGTCGGAGGTGACCATAACGTTGTCATGAAGGTTACCGGTGCACCCGCGAACACGGTCATTGCTTTCTCCTATCTTTTGATCATCTTCTACGCTCTGACGCTGGCACCGATCTGCTGGGTCTACGCCGCCGAGGTTTGGTCGCTCGAGACACGTGCATGGGGTATGGGTATCGCTGCCACAGGTAAGAAGCGGACGTTCAAATGATTCCGGCACCAGTATATTGACAACTCCTTTAGGCAACTGGCTATTCAACTTTGCGATCGGTCTTTTCATCCCACCCGCGTTTATCAACATCAAATGGGCGCTGTTCATAGTCTTTGGCATACTCTGCTTCCTCGCAGCAATTCAGTTTTTCTTCACATATCCCGAGGTAAGACATACACGAAGTTACGGCAAGGATATTGCTGACCGGTTTGATAGACTTGCGGAAAGACTCTCGAAGAAGTTGAGTTTATGTTCAGCAAAGAAGGCCCGCATGCCTGGCAGACGAAGAAGGGAAGCGACCACATTCACCGTGATATGGAGCACGTGGCAGCTGCTCAAGCCAAAGAAGATGCGCGGGCTAGCATCGAGAGAATCGCAAGAAAGGAGAAGGGCGGCACAGAGCAGACCGAGACTGTCTAAGCTGCCGTTGACCTAGCTCACGATATAGTTTGGGAAAAAGGGGATTTACCAAACCTGTCAGAAATTCCATTCGAGTGGTGTTCGCTGATGCAAGGATTCCTTGTCAACCGTACGGAGGTGCCTCACAAAAGTTTTGTCCCACGCTAATCTCGGCGCTTCGGCATAACTCTTCTTGGCGCAACTCCCACCTTTGAGCTGAGTAGCTGTACGATTTGTCTGTATCTATCGTTACAATGTCTCCTAATACTGATCCTTACACCCGCACCTTAATTGTGGCGTTAAAGTCACCTTCTGTTGGCAAGTCTACATCACAGATCTCTGAACTTACTGGTGTTCATCCTCGTACGGTCAATCGTATCTATAGTAGAGCTATTG